CCGGGGCCCTCTGAATCGAGTGGTTTTGCCGCCAAATGGCACCACAGATAGCGGTTATGGCCAGAGCCAATACGCTCCTTAATGGCGTTAAATCCTTGAGATATGAATCAATAGGATATGATTGATAGGGCACAAAGCCCTCTGTTAGCTAAGGTGGATTTAAATTTGTCCCCTTAGACAAACATTCAATCTCGGTCTACAAGGTTCCCTTGGACGAAGCAACCCATGGCTGCCGACAAGGATCCTTCTGTCAGGTTGGGTCGACTACCTCCTCTGACTAAGTAGACCAGGGACCACGATGGCCCGGGATGACGGAACCATGGGATCTTGATCGGGCCCATCATCCATTCCCCCACCATCCGCTTTAAGTGTAGGATGGTGCAATTTCTATTTAAATATCAAATCTTCCGAACCAAATTCCAAATCCAAAAGCCCAATTCTTCAATTCCCAATATCCAAACCCTTCAAATTCCAAACTTCCAATCATCAATACCAATACTCATTGCTGCTACTATATGCCAGATAACACGTATCTCTACGTATCTGATCGATGACTAGCCTTAATCGAAAGTTCTCTCTCGTTATCGGGAGGGGTAATTAACTATAGGGGCTTGCGCCTATAGGAAACCAGAACTCAGATCATAAAGTCCTCACAAAATGAGGGCGAAATCTCTGGGTAGTGTCTTATCTACAAACCCATCTGCCTTCCAAAATTTACCTCGGAACTTATTCAGTTAAAACTCCCTCGTCGAAGAAATAAAAAAAGAAATCGCGCGGCGGGGAGGCCGGGGCCGAATTTTCGGAGCCCACAAGTGCTAGCAAGGGGAAAGGAATCTTCTTGCAAGGGGAAAGAAGAAGAGATGGAAAATCAAACCCAGTAGGGAAGTGGGGGATGGCGGGACACAGGGAGTTTAATGGAATTCAATTCCCCAAAATCAGTGAATTGATTTGGGGACTTGATTGGAAACCATACATGGAAGGAAATAAAGAGGGAGACGGTGGGAAAATTAGAAAATCTGAAGACTTGAACGGCTGGATGTAGAGAGAAGTCAGGGGAAATATCTCCAAGAGCTGTTACGTGGAGTTAAAAAATAATAATAAAAAAATCTCAGATTTTGGAATTCTCAGATTTGGAATTCCTGAGAGGGAATTTAGGAATTAATTCCTAAATTCTATTCTCAGGGATGTGGAAATGAATTTCGGAATTAAAGGAGGTGGCATTAGAGAGAAAACAGGGATTTAATTCCAAAAATAAAAAGCAAGATTTGGAAAGGGAATTAACTGCAGTGGAGCCTTGAGATTTTCGGCCAAGGAATAATCTCAGCTTTAGAAATATTTCCAAACAATTGCTGTGACTGTTAGAAAAGATTTCCTAATGTAATTCCAGAGAGGAGTGGCGGGATTGAGAGGAGAAGGAGATTTTATTTTCAAAATCTGATTTCAGGTTTCAGGAAATAAAATTAAAGCACTTGGGGAAAATTCGGTTAAGAGGAAATCTGGGAGAATTTGAAATATTTCCAAAAGAGATACTTAGCTTAAGGAAATAAATCTAAATCCAAGCCAATGAGGTGTCTTGCTTGCATAAATGCAAGTTTAGGATTAGGAAAGCAATTAACCAAATCCACTTGAATTTGAAATTCAAAAGAATTGAGTTAAGAACTTTCCAAAAATAGCATGATAAATTAGGAAAGAAATTTGAATTTCAAATTTTAAATAATTTGAATTTCAAATTAATTCCTAGTATCTTGCACTCCTAATTAGGAAATCCAAGGAGAGAGGGGAAAGGATGAGGCCAGCGGCTAGGGAGCCATGGCCGGCGGTTTGGAGGAATTCCTGGATGGGTGGCCGGTGGCTTTTTGGTGAGCTCGGTATGGAGCTTGGACTGTGAAGTTGAGGGAAAAGATGACAAAACAAAACAACAATATAAGATAAAACGAAAGATGCAAAGAGGAGGGTGGTGGATGAAGATTGAAAATACAAAGAGAAAACCACAAACCCGGCCGTCTCCAAGGTTGGTGGGTGATTCGTTTGCCCTTCTCCAAGGAACTTCAAGTCACGAGTCCGAACCCATCCAGCGGCTGGTGAAACTCTCGATTTCTCTCATAGAAATCTCACTCTCGTCCTCTCTCAAGAAGAACACAAGTGTGGAAAACACAAAATTTTCATATCAAAATTAACCATCATCCTCTTACAATAGCTTGAGGCCCTATATATAGGCCACAACATAAGAAAAATTAAACATTACAAAATTGCCCCTTGGGCCACAACACTCACATAAACTAACCTAGGGGTAAAACAAGAAATAACCGAAAATAAGAGCTAAAATTTTCTAAAATTTAAATTAGAGCCGTCGATTTACGACGCCTCCTGTGATAGATGTGCCAAATCTTCGTGCCGATGTCCGCATCAATAACGTACATATTTTAAATATATATTCTTGAAATATACTTATTTAAAAGTCAAAACAATCACACTAAAGTAACGTACACATTTTATTAATTTATCAATTATTAATAATATTGCAAAGATGAAGGTGGTAAAAAAAACAATATTAAAAGATGAAGGTGGTAAAAAAGCAATATTAAAAGAGAGCTTACAACTCTTATCTTCTCTTCTTTGTCAGATAAGCACGGTAATATTGCTCCAAGGACATCAGCATAGTAAGGAACAAGCTGGTCTCCACCAACTTTTACAAACTCATTAATCTACAAAATCAATAGATGCAGTGTTAATAACGAACTAAACTGTAGTCTAAACAGCAATGAAAAGTAATGAATATTTAACTGTTTCACTTCCATCCAATACAACCAGTGGCTGTTGGAAGATTACCTACCAGAAACCATTACTCAGATAACAAAGAATAAGTTCATTCATCCTTACCCATGTGATAGACGTTAACCGAGTAAATTCATCAGGAGAAGTTGCCCTTTGAACCAAAATTTCAGCCAAACGACCGTAATCTACATTCTTCAGAAAATTTTTAGAATCAGGAAAGCGATAAACAACTATGACAAAAGTTTAGCATATAAGTTGATAATAGTCATCTTGGGTTTCACTTCATACCAAACACATTGTACATAACTCATAACTTCATACCAAACACAATGTACAGAACTGATAACAAACTAAACAAAAAGAACGTAGGAAATAAAATAAGATGCATCTGATCCAAGGAATGGTTCTAGCTAACCACTGAAATATTAATTAAATTTACTTACAGGAGGGTTCTTTATTTCTTGTAAAAATTCTGAAAGTACGGAGTCAGCTTGCTGACGTATTTCATGGCTAGAATCACTAAGCATATTGAACAAACCTGTATAAATTCGAATTAAATAAGATTCATGCTCTGAGGAACAAGCAACGTCTACCAAAATAAATCTACTTCAGAAATATTACCATCAAGAAAATCTGGAAGGAAGCCAAGCATATCAATCTCTGGAACACCATCCAACACAGTGATCCAACTCACCAAAAATTGCCGAACATAGGGGTTTAACACATTCAAGCGTTCCCGTAACAATGGGATAAATTCCTCTATGCTTTAAATATAAAAAGAGAAAAATAAAATTAGATTATTTTCAATGGGAATATGAGACCTTCATGGAAAATTTTAAACAAATGATATCAGATTCTACACCTGAATTGATCACTTTCTGTTACAATATCCTGCTTAGTTGACTGAATGTTAGTAATTATCACAAAAAAAAATGTAAAAGCACAACTAGCCAGAAGTACAAAATTCCCCCTTCGGACAAATAAACAAAATAATTTCATAAATTTACCTTTACAAGCCGATCTAGCAGATGAGCAGCACTTTGTACATTGGCGTCTGAGTCTGCTGAGAGCTTACAAAGTGCATCAAAAATCTGATTGAAATATACAATAAAATCTCCTCTAACAACCTGTCAACAAAAAACAAAACAGTTAGATTTTGCATTACATGAAAGATTAAACTAACTATTATCATGAGCCACTGCTGTCGCCACAATCTTATACATAGAATTCCAGGTTGTTCTTATGAAACAACATTTTCCATTTTTGCCAACTATGGCTTCTAAGATGTTAACTCTTTTTTACACATTTATTTTTGCGCAGCCTGTAGCTATATTAGCTATGGAACACCAAGTTTCCTTCCTAATCATTCCACATCAACTTTATCAATCAAGATTTGAAATGCAATTTACCCTTCTATTGTACATGCTCAAATCATCTGAATCAATTTTCTACTAGCTTATCACTTTGAAATGCTAGTTTTTATTCCCACTATTCATTTAATATAATCATTTCTTAACATTCTCATTTCTCTCATACTTGACCTAACTATTTGTGACTATTTCATCACTAACCACTACTTCTAGTTTAATTACCTTTCTTTTAATTCTTCATTATAACCACCATGTATTAATTCTAAAAGTTATATCCCATTTGCACCCATATTATCCTATTAAATAAATCTGAGATAATCATAAAATGCATTAAGTATAATGCAATAAGAAAATGACAAAGAACACACCTTAGCTATGTTGTATAGTGCTTCACAAGCATAAAATCGAACACTATTGTCTTGGTCAAGGAAAGAATTAAGCACAGGAGGTCCAATTTGCTGAATTCACAAAAAACAACAATATATTAATGAAGTAAAAACTCTATGGAGATTAGTAACTTTTATAAATTGAAGCAAGACATCCTTGAGATACCGGTAGCATAACTTACATTCAGAAAGTAGATTAAATAGAAAGAGATGCAGGATGCAAGTGACTCGCAAAAACTATATTTGTTAATAGTATATACGCATATCCGTTTATCAAAGTAATGCTACAAAAATTATAATAGAAGTAAATCATCTTCTATAGAAGTATGATTTTCCCAAATGAAATTCATCTTCAATCAGATTTAGTTGGCACATATAATACAAAACACAGAGCATATAAATTATAAGAAAAGGCTAAAATTCTAAGGACCATGCATTTCCTAAGGCGAGGTACAGTGGGATAGGTAAATAATGGACAGGCTGAAAATATAAGGATTTAAAGAACACATTAATATTCATGGAATAAAATAAGTGTGAAAATAAAACAGTAGAAGGTTAGGGGGAACAGCTTAAAAAAGGGGACACGGATAAGAAAGTGAAATAAAGATAACAATCAGAAAAGGGAATAAATCAGGAAAGTTGGCTATTTTATGGAGTCCAATTACAAATAACTAAGGGCATAATGATAATATAAAATCATGGCTAAATTTTAGTACAGGTAGAAATGTGAATTAGTCTCAAACAGAAAACCTTAAACTATGGAATTTTACCAGTTGTCAGTTAAGAACTAGATCAGCGCAGATTCACTAGAAAATTTAGCTTGCATATTCGTTCGAGTTTGGTAAGCTTTGGAAAATATGGAACCGCATAACAGCAAAAAAATAACAATAATAAACAAAACTAAATGTCTCTAGAAAGAACAAGATGCAATTGTTTAGAAACAATAATAATAAGTGCTCTACAAAGGTCATAGTCTTCAAATATTTTCTCCATATTTTGAAATATGAGAAAAAGATCAAAATGGTCTTTTAACTCTTTAGCATTGTTTAAAATTGTGCAATATGAGGCCTGTCTCAACACAATTCCAGTGAAAAGCACCTCGAGGAGTAACTCGAGTTTTTTTATAAGGCTTAATGAGGCAGGCACTGAAACCTGCGAGGAAGGATTATCGTGGAGTTGTTGTATCAATGAGATGGATGTGTATCATCCTTGTCATCAATGGAAACGTTCTATGAGAAGGTTGTGTTGTTGTTCAAACATACAGAAGACTCAAGCAAAGGAATTGTTTTTTGTTGTAGAAGAAACTCGAAAGATTTTTTTACTGTGTAGAAGAATAGAATAATGGATTCCATAAAGAAGGTATGTCTTCTTATTCCACGTTGCTTGTAGAAGAATTTCAATTCTACTAAGTCTTGGAGATAAGGTATTTCGAGAAATTGTGTATGAAAGAGCAGTCAGTGACATAGGAAAAAGTTTAAATCCTTGTACAAGATAATTCTTTTGCCAATCAATAGTAACTAAAGAATAAATTATATACATGGAAAACTGAGGAGTAAAAACCATTGAAATAAGTATGTGGATGAATTTAATCGAATGGTTCTTGATTTAAAAAGCTTAGTTCTGAGAATAAATGATGAACATTAGGCAATTACTCTCACAAGTACATTACCAAGTAGGTATGAATATTTTGTTGATGCTATGCTTTTTGGAAAGAATGTCTTAGCAATGTCAGAAGTAAAGGCTGCACTAAATTCAAAAGAAATAAAAAAAAAAGTAAAACATAATCAGGATAGTGCAATTAAATGGCTAATTGTGCGATGAAGATCAAAAATTGAGAACCAATCAAGGTCCAAGTCAAAGGCAAGAAGGAAATACTTTTGTTTTCATAAAGAAATACATTTCAAGAAGTTGTGCCCATAAAGAACAACTAAGAACCAAGAAAGGGTTAGAAAATAAGATGTTGCAAAGTGGAGGAAGGCTATGACAACGTCGAGGTCCTCTCATAAGAAACAATTCTTTAGTGATTCTCCTTTATTTTGATTAATGTCAAATAGCTAAGAGGAATCCTCCATAAGTCTATATATATATACAAGACTTCCCCATGAGTAACTCCTCCATAAGTCTATAGTGCTCGGCTGCAACATCTCATCCAAATAAAGGCATCTTTAATACTCACCCAGTAAGAAAGTTTCTAAATATCGAATGCTTGTAGCACTCAGATTTTTCAGCAACTATAAAAATGGTTACTTAGCAAACAATATCTTCCTCAAGATTTTTATATTCATTTTTGCTAAAATCTAGAGAGCTCTCGATAACCACTACCACGTAATATTCTATAAGGTTCTCCTTCTCAATTCGTGAAAAGGTGAAACTCAAGGTTAAACCCAACAACAAGCTGATCCTCCTGTGCACTTTTCACCATTTAAAACATGCGATTTCAAGTCTATCTTGATATAACCAGGGCAATCAGCAATGTCAATTTGATAATTATATGTCACTTTTGTAAAATGATTAATTTATACCTAAGTGGGCTAGGGTTAAGAAGCTTGGACCTATTATATTAAGATATTGTGATGCACGCAATGACATAATGTTGTGGGAGCAAAGAAATAGGGAAACACAGGAAACAAGACAAGCAATGAAACAGTGGAAAACTTCTCTGTAGTATATTCTGTAAAAACTAAGCTATAAAATGTTCTCCTCAAGTCCCATATAGGGGACGGTATACCAACTAAAAGAGGCCAATCAAGGGGCCAGCTGCTAAGTGTACTATAGTACTATATTTAGTTATATAGGAAGTGGAGAGAATAGCAAAAGATGAGAGGTGGTAGGTCTCTAGGTATAATAATCCAACATAAAACAAAATGTAAATATGTTCCCACATCAGTTCTCCTCCACTTCAGGAGAATTTGCGTCCAGCGAATTGATTTCTATCACTGTCGAGTCAGCTAAATGGTAGGGACTGATATCGGCGACGTTGAAGGTGGACAATGTCAAAATGTTGGAAGGGAGGTTGACGACATAGGCATTGTCACTAATCTTGTGTCTGATAGTGACTGGCCCAACCTTTCTTGGCCTAATCTTCGAATGTGTCCCAACTAGAAATCTCTCCTTAAACGAACCACGACTAGCTCTCCGAGCTGGAAGGTCTTGGCTCTGCGATGTACGTCCGCAGCTTGCTTGTACACATCATTGGAACTTTGCAATTTATCGTGAACAGTATCCAGCATTGACTTAAAGACCCCCGCTAGCTTGGCCGCCTCAAGATTACAGCACTTCGGCAAGATTGCGATGTCTACAATTTGATTAGGAGGTTTAGTGTAGACGACATTAAAATGACACATACCCGTGGATTGATTGCTCATGGAATTGTAGACAAACTCGGCTTGGCCCAAGACATCGTCCCATTTCTTTGGATTGTCCTGCACCAGACATCGTAGCATGTTGCCCAATGTGCGATCCACCACATCAGTTTGGCCATTGGTCTGAGGGTGGTAGGCTGAGCTTAATTTGATGTCGGTTTGAAGTTCCGTGTGAAAGCTCGGCGCTAATTCCTATTGCGGAGGCGTTTGTATCGACATGAAATGCCTTGCTGAAGTTGGGTGCTGCCAACACCAGTGCCGAGGTGAGAGCATCTTTGATGTTGCGAAAGCTTCGTTGTTGCTCATCACCCCATTTAAAAGAGCTAGATTTTAAGCAATCAGTGATCCGGGACATAATTATGCTGAAACCACGGATGAATCTTCTGCAAAAATTTGCTAATCCGTGGAAGCTTCGGATTTCCGTCAATGTGCTAGGTGGCCACTGCTGGATAGTGAGAATCTTGTTTGGATCCATAGCTGCTCCTTGAGCCGAAACAACATAACCCAGAAAATGAACAGAGGAAGTGGCAAATTCACATTTGGTTGTATTTAAGTATAGCTTGTGGGCTCGTAACAAGTCAAAGACACTCCGCAAGTGTCCCCAATGTTCATCTATAGATGGACTGAAGACTAAAATGTCGTCAAAGTAGACCACGCAACACTTGCCCAATAGAGGCTTTAAGACTTCAGACATTAGTCTAAAAAATATCGCCAGTGCGTTGCACAAGCCAAAAGGCATAACTTTCCATTCAATAACCCATTTTGCGTCTTGAAAGCTGTCTTCCATTCGTTTTCGGGCCGAATTCTAATATGATGGTACCCGCTCCTAAAGATGCTTTGAGAAAAACTTAGCTCCCTCCAAATAATATAGCATATCCTCCAACCTTGGAACCGGAAATCGGTACTTGACGGTTATTTTATTGATAGTCCGGCTATCAATACACATCCTCTACGACTCGTCTTTCTTGGGGACCAGTAATGCCGACACGGCACATGGACTGAGGCTCGGTTGAATCAATTGCTTGTCCAGAAGTTCGTCGGCAATCTTCTGCAGTTGTTGGTGTTCGGTGGGGATCATTTTATAATGTGGCAAGTTGGGTAATGCATCCCCTGGAGTAAAATCTATTTGGTGCTATATAGATCGCATTGGCGGTAATTCCTTGGGAAGGTCCGCGGGTACAACATCTGCGAAATCATCCAGTAGCTTCATTACTTAAGGCAAATAATTGACTTGGGTTGTCTCGGGGTTGGCTTCAACTAACAAAATAGCAACAATGGATCTAGCTTCTTTCCCCATCTTCAAGAGTGAGTTGCCTGACACAATGCCAAAGACCAGGCATGCGGTCCCCTTCGTCGCCTGTTGGGGATGGTGTAGTTGATAGTAGTCGTAACTTGCGTCCCTTCCACTCAAAAGAGTACGTGTTTGCCCGCCCATCGTACGTAACTCCCGGGTCAAATTGCCACGTCTACCAAGAATTAAATGGAAAACATCCATATCAAGAACATAACAAGGTATTTCAGTGGTGTAGTGCTTACCAATGGAAAAAATGTACTTGGCAAATGTTCAACACCTGAATGTCAAGGCCCTTTTTAACCCAACTAATCCATAAGGATTTGGGTTTTTGATGGTCTTGAGTTGCAGTGCTTGCACTACAGCTCATGAGATAATGTTTTCGGTGCACCCATTGTCAATCAAGAGGTCACAGACCTTCCCCTTTATAGTACACTTTGATCTGAAGATAGCATTGCATTGCGAGATAGTGTTCTGACTAGCAGTGAGCAACAATTTCTGCAGTACACAAATGATAGGTTCTCCTTCATCCCTGGCTATTTCTTCATACTCTTCCTTGCCTTCAGCTTCGGTCACGAAATTGTAAGGGTCTGACTAGCCTTCAAGAAGCTGTAGTTGTTGATGGTTTGGGCATTCATTGGACTTATGTCCTGGTTGGAAGCACCTGAAACATTTCAGTGTAGTAGGTCGGCCATACGGATTTTTCCTTTCTGGGCCATTCATCTTATTATGAACTTCTTGTTGGGGCAGCAATGCTGCAGGTATAGATTTAGGCACCGGCTTTGATACACTATTATGATTGGAGCTTTAACCACGATTGTCCGATGCAGGAAAATCACTGAATTGCCGGCATTGTGGTAGAGAATAAGCTGGCTGATTGGACTGCATTTCGGCCTTTAAAGCGAAGTTGACCGCCTAGGATAACGACCACATAGAATTCAATTCTAATTTGTCTTGTATAGCTTCTTTCAATCCCCCGATGTAACAAGCTACTATTTGGTTAGTAGTCTCATTCAAGTTGTTACAAGCACTAAGGCGATAAAACTCCTCCGTATAATCGCTCATGCTCTGATGGCCCTACATACACTATTGAAACTTCATGTATAGAGTTTGTTCATAGTCCGTGGGCAAATAGTGGCTTCGCAATAGTTGTTTCATTCTAGCACAAGTTCGGACGTTGCCTTTCCCTTCCCAGTGCCGACTATGCTGCCACCAAGCGCTTGCTCCGCCTCGCAGCCGGCACGCTACATATTTCACTTGTTTGTCTTGCATAATACCCATATATTCAAAGAACGTCTCTACGAATCGTTCACAATCTAGGAAGTCCTCAATATGTAATTTTCCGTCAAATAATGGGATATCCATTTTTACCTTAAATTCTCCTTGGTGTCTTGGCGGAAAATCAAGGTGGTGGCAAGGATGAGGGAAATACGGCGGAACTTCTTCATTGCCGAAGTCTGACGCATTCTACTGCTGTTGAAGTCCAAAATCAACGTCCGAATCGATTAAATCGGGTACATCAGCCCGCCCACGGCGTTCACCTCTGGCGCGCGGAAGAGTTGTGCGATGGGTTGGGGAAATAGATGGTGGCGACAGTTGGACATTGCCGCCGTCGGCTTTAATATTCTGAAATTCTAACCATACCTTTGTGGCAAATCGACGAAACTCTGTCTTGAGTTCCTCCAATTATTTAACAATCTTGGATTGAAGCGCCCACAGAGCACCTTCGCCTTGATCACCGTCGAAGGCGGGTTGTCTATTGCTATCCGCCATTTCTTACCTCCAAGCTCTGATACCAAGTTGTTGTGGGAGCAAAGAAATAGGGAAACATAGGAAACAAGACAAGCAATGAAATAGTGGAAAACTTCTCTGTAGTATATTCTGTAAAAACTAAGATGTAAAATGTTCTCCTCAAGTCCCATATAGGGGACTGTATACCAACTAAAAGAGGTCAATCAAGGGGCCAGCTGCTAAGTGTACTATAGTACTATATTTAGTTATATAGGAAGTGGATAGAATAGCAAAAGGTGAGAGGTGGCAGGTCTCTAGGTATAATAATCCTGCATAAAACAAAATGTAAAGATGTTCCCACATCACATAACTTCTAGAATTAATGCAACATGCTAGAAAGAGGTGCATCAGGAGTATTATATTATAAAAATTTATCATAGAAACTTGAAGGAAATTTATGGAATTATAACTAATTGAGCCTTATACAGGATGGATTTGAGTGTTAATCACCAAAGATATCACTGGAAGCAAAGTTGATTGTGATGTAAAAAGGAAGGTTTTAAGATGCTTATGTAATAAGTATGGGAAGACAAAGTAAAAATTATTCATGCTAAAGGAATGGTGGGAGCATCACCTATTGATAAAAAAATAATGAAAAATATACTTAAATGAATCAAATGTATATAAAGAGAAAAGAAAGTGCACCATGAGTAGTAGATAAAATTAAAGTGAAAGGAAAGAAATGATAGAGGAAAATTTAATGGAGCATGGCAAAGAGTTATGCAATAAGGCTTTCATAAACTATAGCTACCAAGTTATGTAGCATCCATGGATGAATATGGAGGAGGAGTCACATAATGAGAACCATGATCATCATCGCAAAACCAGCATATGTGAGCAAACCTAAAGCATTGATATTATATTTTGTTTTTCTTTGCAGACCAAAACAAAATTGAGCACGGCTATTCGTCATTACCAAATTTTCAAGCGGTCAAAATTCAAAATCCTATATTGTAAATAAGTTGGGCATCGTGCTGGACTATAAAATGTAAATGCTGGACTATAAAATATAAATGAAGGGCATTTATCGTAAGCAGAGTTATGTACATATTTTTTTAGGCTTTCTTTTCCATTTGTTTCGTGTAACACGCACAAAAAGTCTTGCAGCAGTTAATAATGGCAGAAAACCATAAAATACATAGCAGAACAAACACATTATAATGGATGTGAAACAGGATAAATACAAAGAAACTATAGTATTGACAAAAAACTGGTAAATGAACAATATAGGTAGCGCATTCAACCATGTGGCAGGGAACAATAGTTTTTGTTGTCTGAAACTCTTAAAGCTTTGTTTCGGATAGATTTTTTATTGTTTTGTTGTAAAAAAAGCAATCAATAAAAAATAATATATTTTTGGATGACAGTTTTTTTTTCAAAATTAATAATTTGGGAACTAAAAATTATTTATATGGTGATAAATTTCAATCCCTTCCACTGGCACTAAATTTACGACAGAAATAACCTTCCATGGTGCCCACAAAAAAAAAAAAAACAATCAAATACTTCTAGTGTTCTTCTGCAACAGTTTCTTCTAAATACTGACCTCCAGATGCCGAGAAGCTTCTGAAGACAGGCCTACTGTAGCTGCAGCTAGCCCTAGTAAACCCCCCTGGCAATTAAATTAAATAAATATAAAAAAATTACTTAAATGAACAGAAAAGATATCAGACATATTGTAAAACAGAAAACAAATTAGTTCAACAGGAAAAAAATGCCATGACACCAACCACAATCACACACACCTTCCTATGGTTAGCCTGCGGGGAATACGTAAATTCGGTGACTAACAGATTAATTACACTCGTAATCTTGTCATGCTCTCCCGTCTGAGCTAGTTGCTTCACGATGCCTTCGACCTGTGTTTTCCCCCAATTTCCAACTCTAATCAGTAATTATCAAATCTTCAATTAAAGAGGAAGAAAACCAACCGCAACCATGATAAGGGGTACAAAGCACCTCAAGGGCCGCATTCTTGCGCTTCTCGTATAGCTTATCGGCAAGATTCCTGAGAACAGACACCGGAATTATCGACATCGCGTCGGCCATTCCACTGCCGATGGTAGAATCCGCCAGATAACGTCAGGAAATAACAAAACAAAAAAGGCGTTTCCAGAGCTTCTCCTCCTCAAGAAAGACCATCATCGCCGCGACACTCTAGAATGATCTCTGAAAACCGTCTGATTGCTCCTAATCGGGGTTCCAAGCGAGCGGCCAGCGATATCGAGGGTCCCAAGAAGCGATCGTTAAAGACGACCCTAGAAGCCAAGTCGGTGACCGAGGAAGAGACGATGAACTTGCGGGGAGACCTTTCTCATTCCGTTGGCCACCCTTTTCCGTTTTGAGTAAGAAGAGTTACAGCAGCAATGTTTGATCCAGGGTGGTTGGTGAGATGGTCGTAACTCCACGAAACCTGTTTGGCTCGTAAAGGTAATTTGGCTTGTATGCAAAGCCATGGCGTCCTAATTTGATAGCCATGTTTTATTCGGACGGGTGCCCACCCATGTCCATCCATAGTCATTTTTGGGATGTCATACTGTCTATATTCACCCACTTTTTCATACTTTTTGAATGAAGTCTACCACGGATTGATGGTCTTGAGGCTTATTGTCCTTTACTCTGATTGCAAACTATCAAGATGCATATTAGAATTTATCGTAATCGTAACATGGTTAAGTACTGCACATTATATAGTGAGTATTGCAATAATATAAAACATACGATAATTAGCAATGCAAATCGATTTATCCCCCGATGTTGAGTACCCATCCACACATACCCATTGGGTATGGGTGGGTGCATGGGGTATAGGTGGGTGCATGGATGGGTGTGAGTATGGGTACCCAATGCAGGGCTCTGCTTGTCTGACTAAATTTGTTTATTTTAAGAAATATATCAAATTTTATTTTTTAATTTCACATCAACTCATTATAATGGTTGCTTGTTTATTATAGTCTTTTTTTTTTAATACTAAATGATAGAAAATTTATCACATTCCTCCTTTAACAAAAATATGGTGGAATATTATTACAACTAATATCATCCCCAAAAAATAGCTAAAAATAGCATAATTAGCACAAAAATCAACTAACTTATTACAACTATTATAAAAATAAAATAAAATTTGATTGAAATCTTTTAAAAAGATAAATCCTTCGTCAAAATATATTCATTTTCCAAATTAACTTTTCTCATTGAATCCTGAAGTATCTAGATACATTTAATAATAATTCCATTGTATTCAAGCATCCGTCCTTGCATAATTCTCTTCAAAGATTTAACAGCCATCATCTCCAATTGAGCTATATCCCAATGTAAGTAGTTGAAACAAAACACCAACAAAAATCTTCCTTTTATAATCTTTGAATATTCCTCCAATACTTGTTTTACTATATCTTAACAGAGATGCATCGATGTTAACTTTTATCCATTCAGGGGCAGGATGGTGCAAAAACTTATTAAACAGCTGTTTGAGCTTATTAACACCCCAATTTTCCCAAATGAATTTTGTTTGAGATGAAATAGCATAAATGATTACAATATAAGCTATTCTAATATAACAATCTTCATTTCCTCAATGCTTTACTTTATATCTACTCTTCCATGAAACAAATATGGCAGTATAATATATATTATCAATAAAAGAGTTATTATTTGCTAACCTTACCAACTTCTCATAGCATTCAACAAAAGAGATGAAAACATGAACCGGAAATCCTTCCCATTTATTAAAATACTCTATGAATTTGATAAACTTCAAGCATGCAACTGCTATATGTTCTGATGTTTCAATTGATTGGCACCATCTAGGATAAGCATTATTATCCAATAATCTTCTATACATAAGAAAATCGTTAGAAGGAATTGCATTTCGGAATAGATTATTATTGGAAAAAAAAAAACTTTTTTATTATAGTCATTACTTTAAAAAAAGTTTAAATTTAAACTATTTTCAAACTAGTGCAAAGCTTATTCAAACTTAAATTTAAATTTGAATATAATCCTTATTCAAAGCTTTGAGTTTTGTTTTGAAATTGAGAGTTGCTCCTATCATAAACTTCATACATAAACTTGTTGTCACAAATTACTCTTCTCCTTCACATATTGTAAGTCCCATTAAGAATTGATTTAAGCGAGCTTCCATCACAAACTCCTTATTGAGGACCACCTAAGCAAGCTTACATCACAAACTTCTCTTCTCTACTGCATTGCACATGTTCATCATTCAAATAATGCATGCCCTTAATGTGCTCACATCACCATCTCCTTTTCTCTTTCATGCATCCCACTGATGTATACCCCAAGTGAGCTCCCATTACTAACTCTTCTTCTTCGTATTTCTTTGTTTCTACTCCAGTGTATGCCCTGAATGATTCGAACTAGGTTTAAACAAGCATGTTGTTGATGTTACTACCCCCATTATCCATTACAATTGTTCAATCAAAAGCACATCTTTTTTTATGAAGTTGAAGCTAGTAGCATCTCCTTCAAAATATTGAAAATTTTCCTTCCTTCAAGTACTTAAAAAAGGTATTCCCTTCTCTTTAAATTTGTTATTTTCCCTCTCTTCTCTCTCCAAGTCTTTGTCATATTTGCTTGTGGCTATATATGCCATGCAACCATTATTTCTTTCTCTTTTATATAATAGCATGTGATGGTAAGTGTTAATGGATCTTGACTTTTTTAGTTACTAATCTTGAAAAGAAAAAATTATTGGATCTTAAGTTTGATAACTATCAATCTTGAAAATCAAAACTAAATTTTGCCCACTAAGATATAGGGAATGTTGAACTTGAGCCTAATAATCTCTTAATTAGATACTATATTTCTAATATGCCAATTTAGTGGTTGTCACGCCCCAAAACCTAAATTAAAAAGAATTGTCATTTTTATAACAATAATTAGAGCTATCTAATCTTTTTTCAATAATATAAATATCAATGAAAGTCAATCTATTGATCAAAATATCAATATATATATATATATATATAACATATTGTCTACTTACTCCTGGATACAAAATAATAACTAAAAATTACATACAAAATAACATAAAAACATGAAGAATCATGTATTAGATTAATCCACACTCCTGATCTTCTTCCCTGATCAGAAATCATTAAATCAAATATAATAAGCTTAAGAAGACTACTAGGTCACTAAAATTCAACCGCTGAACTCGAAGAATAGAAAAAGAAGCAATATGCATGAATTCATTCAATCCATAACAATAACATTTAATATGATCATAAATTTGTGCATAAACAGTAAAATACAGCTGAAACAAAGCTTATTCAAACTTAAATTTAAATTTTAATATAATCCTTATTCAAAGCTTTGAGTTTTGTTTTGAAATTGAGAGTTGCTCTTGTCATAAACTTCATACATAAACTTGCTGTCACGAATTACTCTTCTCCTTCACATATTGTAGGTCCCATTAAGAATTGATTTAAGCGAGCTTCCATCACAAACTCCTTATTGAGGACCACCTAAGCAAACTTACATCACAAACTTCTCTTCTCTTCTCCATTGCACATAGTCATCATTCAAATAATGCATGCCCTTAATGTGCTCACATCACGATCTCCTTTTCTCTTTCATACATCCCACTGATGTATACCCCAAGTGAGCTCCCATTACGAATTCTTCTTCTTCGCATTTCTTTGTTTCTCCTCCAGTGTATGCCCTGAATGATTTGAACTAGGTTTAAACAAGCATGTTGTTGATGTTACTACCCCCATTATCCATTACAATTGTTCAATCAAAAGCTTGTCTTTTTTTATGAAGTAGAAGCTAGTAGCATCTCCTTCAAAATATTGAAAATTTTCCTTCCTTCAAGTACTTAAAAAAATTCTTCCCTTCTCTTTAAATTTGTCATTTTCCCTCTCTTCTCTCTCCAAGTCTTTGTCATATTTGCTTGTGGCTATATATGCCATGCAACCATCATTTCTTTCTCTTTTATATAATAGCATGTGATGGTAAGTGTTAATGGATCTTGACTTTTTTAGTTACTAATCTTGAAAGAACAAATTATTGGATCTTAAGTTTGATAATTATCAATCTTGAAAATCAAAACTAAATTTTTCCCACTAAGATATAGGGAATGTTGAATTTGAGCCTAATAATCTCTTAATTAGATACTATATTTCTAATATGCCAATTTAGTGGTTGTCACGCCCCAAAACCTAAATTAAAAAGAATTGTCATTTTTATAACAATAATTAGAGCTATCTAATCTCTTTTCAATAATATAAATATCAATGAAAGTCAATCTATTGATCAAAATAATAACTAAAAATTACATACAAAATAACATAAAAACATGAAGAATCATGTATCAGATTAATCCACACTCCTGATCATCTTCCCTGATCAGAAATCATTAAATCAAATATGATAAGCTTAAGAAGACTACTAGGTCACTAAAATTCAACCACTGAACTCGAAGAATATAAAAAGAAGCAATATGCATGAATTCATTCAATCCATAACAATAACATTTAATATGATCATAAATTTGTGCATAAACAGTAAAATACAACTGAAATTGTTATCCCGATTAAACAAAACGGCACGGATGTCGAAGCAGTAAAATAATGAACCATCATTCTTAAATCATATCTCGTAGCAGTGCTATTACAAAAATCATATAAACCAATAAAAAGTGTTAAAACCATAGCAATACAATACAATATTATTCATTACTGGTATAGGAGTGCACACATGATGCTCAATTATACCAGTATCATTGTCTTAATCACGTGCTCAGTAACATTAACAGTATAATTACATGCTCAATAATAGTAACAGTATAATCATATACTCAATAACAATAAATAACAACAATTGATGCATCGCCAATTAGTCATATTAAACAAGTAATGTATTACGGCTTATGTGGCATTTTCCGAGTAATCAGTAATAGTATCTAGAATTGTTGGCTCAGTAAATAGAATTATCACTCTTGCTTGTTGGCACAACAAACTCCTTATTAGGGGTGTTAAAATCGATTTTCAGGCCAGGTTCGAATCCAACCCAAATTTGACTTAGCTTTAATTGACTCAACCCGAACCCAATCCAATTCTAAAAATGGGTCATAAATATGTACCCGGACCCAATCCCATCTCAAACCAAAATCAACCGAGGCGCAAAGGGGACACATAGGTGTATATATGCACATATGCAATAATGTGTACAAAATACATAAAAATGGAAATACAAATAGCATAGAGCTCAAGGGTTATTCCTTTGGTCCTCCAATTCCTTCTTCTTCCTATATTGTTTCCTGCATATAAATAGATATCTCAGTCTGTAGAGATTGAGAACTTTTACAATTTGCTTTTCCATGTGAAATGGAGTTGTGAGGGGACAACTTTGGCTAAGCTTTGAAATAATTCCGTAAGTTGATGTACATGAATTAATTTGTTGCCAAATGCCAACACACTTATCACATGTTGAAAGGATTTGTTTGGGAACACCTCTTCACTGCTTAACAATGATAAAAATAGTTCGTACAAAATTAATAGGCATGAAGCTTATCTTGATCTATTAGCTGGAAGTTTTGATTATAACTAAGAGATTTTGGATTTGAGTTTTACGTACGTGATGCGTGAATTTGCCTTAATTAACCTAAATATCCCAAAATAATAATGATAGGTATTTTAAAGACAATTATTTTGCAATTTTTTATCTAAAAAAAAATTATAGAATATTTTTAAAAATAGTAGCCGAGAAAGATATTCTAAAAAACAAAAACAAAAAATCTTAAGTTATTCTTTTGTTTGGAATAACTTTTCGCCTATTTTGTTTGGAACGAGTTCATCAGGTTTTTTATAATTGATTCTATTGAGTTGTAAATTTGCCACTTTGATTTGTTTAATTCTTAAGTAAGTTGAACACTCCCTCAAAAAGTTTAATTTTTGAGCATGTTAAACTCTCTCTTGACTACTTTAATTTTTGGGCAAGTTGAACTTTACTTTGTTCAATTCATTTGTTAGAGAGTTAAATATGGGGGTTGTTGTTGGACCTGATGAATGGACTAATGAGTCCTTGTTGAATTCCAAATACGAGTTCTTGGAATATAGGGGTGTCAAAACGGGTCAATTAGTGAGATTTGGGTCTGACTTGAAATTGACTTGATCTCAATCTGGTTAACCTGAACCTGACACATTTAGTAAACATATAACAAATGCAAACCTAATCCGACCCGATAGCAACTTGAATGACTTGAACGTGATATGATAATTAGTTTTGATTAAAAAAATTACAACTTTTAATAACAAATTTAAATTACTTAAATAAAAAATAAGATAAACATACCAACAAATTTAAAAAAATTAAAGAAAAATAAATTTAAACGGGTCAAAATCGGATTGGTCGGTCAACCCAAAAGTGAATTTTTTAAAACGTAAAGCTTTGCTATGAATTTTTCAACACTCGTTTCAATTCAATTATGAAGATCTTCCACTGTAAAAAAACATAAATGAGATCCTAATTAATATAAAATTTCAACTTAGAGTACTTAATCAGATCTTCAAAATAATATCAAGTATTCCTACTCTCATTACGATAACATAAATTATTTCAAACACTTATAAAGGAAACTTTTACCTAATTGAACATTGTTAATCATAACATAAAATAGCTCTAATTCATCCCAAATTTTTTATTATATCAAAATAATTAGCTCATCAAAATTTACCTTCCTTTTTGAGAAATCTCCTTCTTCCACCGGCCGATTTAAGTTTGTTGTAATTCAATTCTTCCTAGAACAATAATGTCTCTTCAATTAAGAGAATTGTTAAATTTTCTTTCTCTCAATTTGGACAGAATACTTGCACTTTCTTGTGAAGGGATTTTCCAAAATTTAAATACTTCCTCTTTCTCCATAAGATTCTCCTCATTTCTAAAAGCATACAATATTATTACTAATAAAATAAAATTTATAATTTATATTCTTCAAAATTCGAACAAGAAATAAATATGATTAAAATCACTTACAAAGCAAAATTTTCTAACACAAAATCTCTTTCTTTCTCTGTCAAGTTCTCTTCCTTTACCTTTAAAAAAGATTTGAATATTTTCTTAAGATTAAATCGTGAAGAAATTGCACACAAAGTGAAAGAAATTGGAAATAGCATACCTTCCTTCTCGTTCTTCCTCTTAGTAGTTTCTCTCGACTGCACTTATTTTTGCGAATGAAGAGGAGGGAGTTATATTTAGAGAAGAGTCATTTACTTTCATCCCCGTACATGTTCATTAGCTCAGAATCATGGTCGATGCCGTTGAGCGTGCATGCAGTCCACCCAGCTTCCGCGCAGTCCTTGTTCGCGTGACTATTTAAGGGCTGGCCGGTTCAATCGAACAGACAAGTTAAATCGTATATTACAGGTGCTGTGTATATGGGTGCTCCGACGTTGTGTCCTTGAGCGCCCCAGTGCTGAACAACAGAGAGCGGAGCGCCGCAGCGTCTTAGATACAACACCACAACGGATCAAGACAGAGGTTCAAGCACCTTAATGCTCCAAAATGGTGCCACAATGCTGCGAGGAGGGGTTGATGATTTTCTTTCTTGTTTTTCTAATGCTTTGCGTCCCTTGGGCTTATTTACTTATCTTTATGTTGTATTTTTTATAGTAAAACACAGAGAATGGTACATTTGAGAAGAGAAGCAAGGAGAGTGTGAGTGAGAAGAGAGATTGGTACTTATTACTACCAATTTTCATATTGAATTTCTTGGTGCGGTGTCGCTTCATGATTTTTCAGCCCTATTTTGAGTTTTTTTTTTACATTAAATTCTGGTATCATTTACTTTCTATTGCTTCTATTTTCTTATTTGTTTTATCACGATTTTATAGTCCATCATCCCCAACATCTTCTTCCATTAACCTTACAAATCTCCAAGAGTTTTTTTGGCCCACAAGCCAAATTTAAAACTCGAAGTCTCTAAAATAAGCTAATTTAAATATCTTTAATCAACAAAATCATGATAGCCAAACAGAACACCATTTAAATACTAAACTCATTTAATTCATTCACGACAACATTCAATTGAAATAAAAAACTTAATCACTCCATTTACATATGCTAGATGAGAACTTGCAAATAATATTTTACAAACATGTAATGTTTTACAACTTTTTTTATTCAAAAAAAAAGAAAAAAAGAAGCTATAGAAATAATGAATGTCATAAAAATAAAAATTTATATACATAAATGCAATTAATCTTATAGCCTTAAATCTAAGTGAATAATGCTCATGATTCTATATTCAATTTATTACTTTCTCATTGGAGACAAAAATGGGTTGGCGAGGTTGTTGTGAAAGATAATAAACCATAGAGGGAGATGATGATAACAGTAAACGTGTGCACAAGTAAGATAGAGAGGCTTGACAATATGAGAGATGAGTAAGTGAACGGGGGTGGAGAGAGATACAAGAAGAATTGATGAGAAAGAGAAGATAAGGCAAAATGAAGTATTTGCGGCATGTAATTAAGAAATATTGATGGATGGAGGAAGACACAAGGAAGAGAGAGGTGAGTCGATGAATTGGCAAACCTCGAGGCAAGGAGATTCGATGAAGCAATCAGTGCGATAAGCATATGAGGGATGTAACGCCCTAAGATCAAATTGGAAGAATTGTCCATTTTATATTTTTAAATAATCTACCAGAGCTTCTTTAAATCATCATTGTATATAAATCAATCTATCCAACAAAAGCAATTAAATATCATACATATTGAATACCACACATATTAAAATACAAATCAATCTAGCCAGTAATTTATGATGGCGCTGTGCTCTCAATCCTAGCTCCGTAGTGCTACCAAAATCTTCTAGTTTAAACATAAATTCATATTTCATTTTAAAATATTTTTTTTTCCTATTTTTCATATTGTTATAGGAGAGGGAGTTTAGGCTTGTGATATAATCAGGACTTATTGACATATTGGATGAATGATTCATTGTAATTTATATTATTAAAGGAGTGTTTGTAGAAAATACTTACAAAAAAAAAGTCATAATTTAATTTGTGGGCATTGCTAATGAATTTTTTTTGCTATAAGCTTTTCTAGTAATATTTCATTTTCTTATAGTTGATATTTGCTAATAAGATCAATGCACAATGTTGACACCTATACTGTTACGCGACTTATCCAATAAGACTGATGCACACTATTAATAATAACTTTGCTTCATGCTAACTCCAATAAGAATAATGCATGATACCTACGCCAATGTTGACATATGTTATATCGAGCGAATAAGATTGTAACTTTTTTGCTTTGACTATTTTGAGTTATTCATAAAATTTTTGGTTTGCTATTAAGTGAAAGATTTCTACAGAGGATAATATAAACTAAAGGTTTGTTGACCTAATGTTAGAGCATTATTGTATATAGTTTTTCAATTATAATTAGTTCTTACATCTTAGTAAATAATAATATATTTAACTCTTAGTTGACTTAATTTAGTTTATTAGAAGGACCCATTTGTAAATAGTCCCTCTAGGCTTTAGGTTATCAATCAACAATCAACGGAGCAATTATTTACATCTATTTTTAAAATTATTGAATATTAAAATTCATAATAAAAATTTAAGCTGTTTTTACATAACTTTGATAGTTGCAAAAATAGAATTGTGACGTTTGTAAATAAATATTTTTTAGATATTATATATATGTAAATTTCTAACCATTTCTATTTACTTTAATTATTTATTTATTTATTTTATTTAATTCACAGAAAAAGGTTGGACCGATAGGAGGGACCGAGAGGAAGGGAAAAAGTTGGATCTACATAACGAAGATGTCTGTTTTAGAAAAGGGAAACTTACCGGATTTTCCGCCCTAGCCTTCCGCGTTCAAGTTCAAATGAAGTAAAGAACCAAAACCCTAACGCCGAGACGGCAAAAAATAAAAAATAAAAAGAAAATAAAAGTAAAAAGAACAATAAAAAAAGGAGAAATAAAGGAAAGGTCAAAAAAAGAAGAAGAAGATAGAGGGAAGCAATTCCCGGTTCTTCTTCTTCGATTCTCGACTTCCAATTGTAAGCCGATTGTTTCCTCGCCATGTCTCCGATCTCGGGGCTGACACTCGCTGACTTCGATCGAGATCGACTGGATGTGGGGTGCTGCAGTTGTCTAGGGTTTCTCAGGAAGCCTGATACAGAGTTGGATTCGTTTCTCGGGGAGGGATATTATGGCGATGTACAATATGGAGGGTACCTCTGCGAGGACCAAGGGAGGATCCCGGGATTGCCCAGGGGCGATCGGGTAATTTGCAGAGAGGTTCCAGTGATATTGACGGGCCAATTGACGATGGGTGAGGTATTGAAGCTTAATTTATTATCTCAGTAATATTTGCTTTTCCAAATCAGTTTCTCTTGATTGTTTCATTTTGTTCTTTATTATTAATTGATAGAGTTCTTCGGTTTCTTTTCATGTTTTTGGAATATGCTACTTTCTGTATTATATGGTTTTCTTAGTAGGACTCGCGTTATTGAATGAATGCGGCTTACTTTTGCAGGTTTTATGTTTTGCTACTTAGTGATTCAGTTATCATACGCAAGTATGAAAAATATAAGCAATAAATCTGCTTCAGTTGTTCTTTTGCCTTATTATTGGGACGCTCGTCTGTGTAATTAGAACTCATGTTCAGGGAAGTTCAAGAGGTGCAAGAACATTTCATGGAGACATCATTTTCTTACTTGTTTCCTCTTTCACCTAAAGTATATTACCGTTTCTTCATTTGTTATTTGCTAATCATATTTCTTAGGAATTGCTAGCAGACCTATATTTCTTGTTCCATGTAGTCTGAATTAGGTGTTAAATACTCTGTTCTTAAATTATCAAATATTTGGCAATTCATCAATCATCAATCAAACAAGAAGGGAAACATTATAAGCATATGCGTTTAGAAATCACTTCCTAAAAGTTAGATGATCATCTTTGTACATGCAATCAGACATATATAACGTTGCATGCATGATAGCATGCCGTTAAATTGGATCATGTCAAGGTCCCAAATTGCCAATAGTGATGAGTTTGAAATTTCTCAAATAAATATTTTATTTTATTTTTCAATCAATCAAATATTTAAATATCAAAATTACTATATTTAAAATATAATAATGAAAAATTTTCAACCAAACCCTTTGATTAAGTTTTAATTCATTGAGAAAGAGTTCAATCTATCATGATTGTTTGATATTTGGAGAAACTAGGTTTTTTCCCCATAATAAAAATTAAAAAGTCTTAGCCCTATTTTATAAGGTTTATCACTTTTAATTAAACTATTTATTAAATAAAATTTTCAAGTAATTATAAATTTTTTAAAATTTTATTAAATATTTCTTTAATAAAAAATATTTTTAATTTAAAAAATGTTATTAAGCATTTCAAAAATATGTGTGACTAAGTTGAAAGTAACATCTATTTGCATATGTTTTTTCTAAATCAATAAATATCATATGTAGATCCTCTTAGATCAAAATAATCAAAAAGCTTTTAATAAATCAACAATGCTTTATGACTCAAATTCAATGGTATAATTACAATCACTTGAAAATTATATTTAATAAATAATTTAATTAAAAATGACTAAAATACCTTATATTTAACACCATTAACTCCAGTATTAGATGTTAGGACCAAAAATTATATTAAATTCCATGCAAGTCAAGCTGTTTAATCATATGGTGGAAGTTTTTTGCTTGTTTCTTGTTTTAAGGAAATAGGGTGGGGATCTCTTCCACGGTTAGGCAAAGTGAATCGAGTAGTTCCTTAGAGTTCTCTATCACGCATTTTGTAATTGAGAGAGTTGAGCCAAAAGGGTGTTGTAAGATAGGATTCTTCTCACAGCTGTTTTGGATTTCAATATCAACAGTAGCATCATATTTCATGTGTTAGCTAAATTTAACAAAAGCTTTCGGCTTACTAAATTTTCCATATACAATTAGAACTTCCATTGCATTGGTTTAATATATTTGAAGGTAAATTGATATTTTTTTTTATTAAAATGCTCTTTCTGGTTATCTTTGATCTATAATGTGAACAAAAATTTACTTCCATTTGGAGCTAGTACTTTTTGATAATGTAATTTATTTAAATGAAGGTTTGGCTCACCAATTTATTTGCATTTTGGTGGTTTTGCAGGATGAAGACGGGCACAAAATGATTAACGAGTATGTTAGAGAAAATAATATTGGTCGTGGAAGCTATGGCAAAGTGGTATTTGTCTTCATTATTTGCTAATCAGTACTTCACATTTTTTCTCATGGAGATTGTTAATTCGGATGCCTTTGTTGTTCATCAGAAGGGTTTAGCTTTTTGTTTTTTTATGTAGGTTTTGTATCGAAAAATAACAGACGGGAAGAAATACGCGATCAAGGTAACTGATACATTTATGTGTTTCCCTTACTTTTTTAATCTTTTTGGTGGTTTCTTTTGACATAATCTTTTGAAACTCTTTAGGATTGTCTTCTTGTGATTATTAGTTTTGCACATGTGATTTACAAATTTTATTTAATCTCCTGTTTTTCCATTTCCTTTTTATACTTAATAGTTTGATGTCAATACTTGAGTATGTTTTAGAGTTTTAGACAATTCTGTCTTTTTTTTTTGAACAAATATTCAGAAATGTCTTTTGTAATTACTAGATGTACAAGGGCACATAGATTTAACAAGCAAAATGCAGCTTAAATTTTTAGTAGAGCAAGCAAACAAAAAAATCTTCTTTGTTTCTAAAAATGTATCAAGAAAGGCACCATCCATTTATGTTAGCTTATTGGGAGGTTTGCATGAATGCCACCAATTATTTAGAAAAATAACATCTAAATATTTAAAATGAATTATCAGACCCATGAATTTGCTTGTGATACAACAAAATTAGTAAGAAATTAACATATTATTGAGAAAGAAAGTAATTTACTAATTTTGTTGTGCTCTTCAATATTTGGATTTTATTATTATAAATTTAAGTGTTTGGGTGGTATTTCTATAAATATGCAAGATTTGGATGTCACACATGAAAGTACACCCTTTTTTGTATGTGCTTAACATTACACATTATTATTGATATATCAGTTTTAGAGTAAGATGAGATTAGGGACATACTAGCTTGTGATTTTGATTTGAAACCTCAGAAATAATGGAATTTTGTAATGTGTTCCAATGAAACAAGAAAATTATTATTATGCTATAGTCTTGAACGTTTGGACAAAAACAAATTCTTGAATGCAATTCTCCTCTGCCAATTTCCTTTAACCTCATAGTTTCTTTTGGTGGTCATTATTTCTTATTTTTGTCCTATTTAGGCTTTCTTGTATGCTGCACTTACTAATGAGAAAGTGAAAGTCCTTTGCTAAAATTAGAATATTTTCTTTTAGTCATTTATCTTTGCTATTATTCTTTGAAAATATTGGGTGTTTGGAAGTAAAATGGGTGTACAATATTCCAAATGTAGGGGTTATGAAAATATTGGTGTTTAGTTGGATGAAAAAGGAATACAAAGTAAAATAAATGTGGTGTAAACCATTTTAGTTCAATTTTGAGGTAAATTAAATTGCCTAATTTTGAGCGAGAATTATTTACACTGCAAGCAAGCTCGCTTGACTGCCATCACCCACTGCTTGCCACCATCATCACCACCCGTCTTTTGCTGCCACCGCTGTGACCAGCTGGCTGCCACCTATTGCTGGCCACCACCTGTTGCTGGCCACCACCACCGCCTGCCATTGACCACCACCGCTGCTGCCACCATCGCACCACCCATTGTTGACCACCACTGCCGCTACCCACCGTCGCCTCCCGCCTCCGGCCACCACCCCCGGCTAATATTTATAATCATTAAAACATTGACTAATTTTTTTCATTTTTTGAGTTCAATAAATTTTTCTTCAAAGATTTAGTATTTGGGAATTTCAAGAGGGATATGATCAAATTTAAAACATATTTTTAAAAATAGAAAGCTAAATGAGGAAGATATAGGAGCACTTGATTATGAGAAACTCAGAGGTGCTCAAAATATCTTATGTTGGATTTTACATTTTAAAATTAGATTTTTGTTTGAGTTGATCAAATTGATTTAGAAAATTGAGGCTTATATTACAACAACATAGGTTGAAAGAAGTGTCTGAAATATGAGGGCTTATGAGGTGACTAGAGTCAATCTCAGTCTTGGATCCTAGATCTAAGGTGAGGATTGATGAGGGATAGTACCTCGAGCCTAAGTCTAATATAATGTAAGAGGCCGATAAACCTATACCTCATCTGAGGCTAGGTCAATCCTGCCTCTGGACTTACAACCCTGCCTAAAAAGGACAGCTAGCTAATCAACCTAAACTATTTTAAAGCTATAATATTCGTTCTTAATGCCAATGAAGTACTTTGGAAATGTCACAATTTATGGTTTTGTTGTCAGAGACATAAAGAAAATCATAAAGTTGTATAAGTTTTTTTATCTTTCTCAACAGCTTGTCGGGAAGACATGGATTGACACCTCAAATTTTCTAGGAACAGAAGAAGTGAAGTATCACCCAATTCATTACATCCATGATAAACGTTGGTATTCCTATAATCTCTAGCAAGATCACCTTTACCTAAACATTTGAAGCAAATAGGTGGGGGATGTTTACTGAATGAATATGGAATACTCTCTTTTAGGATACTCTATGGGTCCACCTCATCGCCATATCTAGAGATGAAGCAAGTGAATTAAACCAATTCTTTCACACTTTCACCTTTTGTGATCGATCTGTTCTCTAACTTTATAATGGCCAGAACTGATGTTACATGGATTGAAGCATTTTTATGCCGTAATAGTAACAAGAAAAATGTCATAGCTAGGTCGTTATTGTTCTTGGTTAGAATTTTTTTTGGGTTTACTGCTCATGCAAAAATTGCCTCACACAATTTTTATTCTGTTAACATGACTTACAATAGTTTCTAAATATGCAGAAAAGTTAATTATTATTTGAATGCTTCGTTGCTTCCTCATGCAGGCATTTTACAAGTCTCGCTTGTCCAAAATCCGTGTGACATCTTCTGAAACGGCCTGGACAGATGTTCTTAGGGAGGTAAAACATTATTTTGTTACCTGACATTCTTTCTTGGTGATGAAGAATGATTGTTCTTTGTTGTGTAGTTCTTTGTCCACCTTTTATTTTCTTTTAAGCTATTCATTTTTTATTAATGAATCCATGCAGTCCTATTTTTCTATATAGTTAAGACCTTACAACAACACAACAACAACAACAAGCCTTTATCCCACTATGTGGAGTCGTCTGCATGAATCCTTTTTTTCCATCGTGTCCAGTTAAGAGTCAAATTCTCATTTGGATCTAATAAAAAAGGTCATTTCTAATATTTTCTAACCAAGCCTTTTTAGGTCTAGCTCTACCTTTCTTAACATAGGTTAAATCTTATACATTTACTTTGCTATCCGCGTCATCGGAAGGCCGCCGTTTTATGTGACCAAATCATCTAAGGCAACTCTCTTTAGTCTTATCTGCCATTGGAGCTACTCCAACTTTTTCACTTATATGCTCATTTCGTATCCTGTCTCTAAAAGTAAAGCCACTCATCCACCTGAGCATCTTCATCTCTACAACACAACTTAATATCTTGCTTCTCTTTTAATGGCCAACGTTATGCGCCATAGAACATTGCAAGTGTAATCACTATTTTATAGAATTTTCCCTTAAGTTTGTGTGGTACTTTTCTATCACACAACAAGCCTGATGCATTCCTCTACTTCATCCATCCAACTTGAATTATACTAATAATATCCCTATCTATTTCACCACCACTCTGAATAATATACCCAAGATATCTAAAATGTGTACTCTTATGAATGACTTGATCGCTCAAAGTCACAACTCCACTAAATCTATTACTATTAAAATTACACTCCATGCATTCGGTTTGAGATCTACTCAAACTAAAACCTTTAGGCTCTAAGGTTGACCTCCATAATTCAAGTTAAGACCTTATATTGCAAAATTTTATATTATTGTCTTTTTTATGTTGCTATTAAATTCCCATTTTGTTAGGGCAATATGCTTTAAGTGAGTTTGTAGTTGTTAGTGTATAAATCTATTTTAAAAGATACAATGCCCCATCCCCCATTTCCACTAATTCCTAGTAACTGAAGTTTAAGAATTTGTTAAATATTTATCCATTATTTGTTACAATCTCAGCGCACTTGCTTATTTTATATGAGCATGCTCTTATATTTGCAATCTCACTTGAGAAAAGGTAACTTGTCATGTCAAAGGGTAAGATGGAGAGGTCTTTGAAGTAAAATGTGACATAAATTGTTTTTTAAAACTCGTATTTGTGACATATTATCAGCAGTCTTTAAAAACTTTGCTAACTAAAATTGTTGTATTTTGCTGCTATCAGTCTTTGAAAACTACACATTGACATACTATCGTAGAGGGTGATGAGTATATGGACCTCTTTTGCTATGTTGACTTATATATGTAATAGTTTTCTAGATTTTCAATGAGTATGACAAAATCTTCAGGTAATTCAGTTCTAGCAAGCTCTACCTAAACGGAAGGTAGAGTTTTAGGGAGAATAAGCAGACAAAGAGTTTATAAATTGAAGTTATGTATATGTATTAGCATAGTTCTTTACTTTCACACAATGATTTTTTTTCCTATTGGATTCTTGACTAGAATCCGATTTAATTGATGCTAACGGTTTGAGCGAGTCATTTATTCTAAATGTTTATTTTAGGTGTCAATCATGAAGACTTTGGAACATCCAAATATTATAAATCTCATTGAGGTGATTGATGACCCAGATTCAGATCGTTTTTTTATGGGTAACTTGAATTTTTTTTACCTTTGCTCTTATATGCTTGGAAGCGTAATCATTAATGTTTTTTTTTCCCAACAGAAAATTATATTGATTGGGAGTTGTGCTTGCAGTGCTAGAATATGTGGAAGGAAAATGTATATGTGATGCCTCTGGACAATGTGGTGGGATAGGGGAAGAAATCTCTAGGAGACGGTTGAGGGATATAATATCTGGGCTCAGTTATCTGCATGCTCATGTAAGTTTTGTCCGTCTAAAGTTATTTTTTGAAATATTTAACGATGGATCTTTATTCCTCCAACAATTCACCAGTCATGTAAACATTAGCATTGATTTTGTTTCTAGATCTTCCTTGTCTACTCTCATGATTCATTTTTACTGTATTTTAATATAAATGATAGCGTAGTTTGCAATTTCCTGATTACTCGTTGGTCTTTGGGCTGACTTTATTTGTTAAATGTCTGCCAGCAGATTTGTAAAATCATGTCTGTCTTTTTTTTTCTTTGCTTCTTTCTTGTATTTTAGTGTTAATAATAGAATAGAGTTTGAGATGTGAAAATAGTAAAAACTGAAATTAGCCTGATGTTTTACTATGAGTGTCACCACTCTACTAGAAAGGAAAAAAATATTAACCATATATCACTAAAATGTTTAAGTATTGGCACGCATTTGCAACAGTTTGGGATCTTATTGCGGGAAAAAATAAACTCAATGAAGATTGTTGAAATTTTAGAATATGTCCTGAAATGCTTCACTTTATTGCTGGCGTCTATCTGAGATACACACCGATTTTTCCAAAATTGGTATAATTGAATAAATCAATTCGTTGCACTTTGCAAGAAAATGAACAATTAGACTGATCTTTTTATTTTTTCAATTTGGTTACAATGAAAATTACATTTTTTAGGTTTTGCAGGAAATTTAATTTATAAGGGATTGTATTTAATTGATTTCTTCTTAAAATTCAATTTACTTCAAATGAGAAGTTGAACTGTAGCTTTGGTTGTATATTGAGGATGTTAAAGTTTAAAAGGGAGAACTTTTGCACCTCAGGCTTATTTCCATGAGATGCTTTGATGTGATCCAAGAGCTGCTAGGTTTCCTTTGATTCATCTTGGATTCCTTTTTCTCAAAGCGGATAAATATTTAATGCATGGATGAATTAAATGATCTAAGAACATATGTAGCATTGTATGGTTTCCAGCTTAAAGAGCCATTTACCGGAAAGTTGGAATGTAGTGACTATGTCTGACTGGACTATGCTAAATACTTAACGTTGAATTGATAAAATAATAATAATAATAATAATAAATAAAAAATAAAAACGTTGAATTGATACCTTGAATCTTCTGTGTGTGTGTGTGTGATACCTTGAATCTTCTGTGTACGGGTAAGTTTTTTAATATTATCTACGTGTGTAAGTTTTTTAATTCTATTTATGTGTGTGTGTGTTTGAGTTTTATAATTACATCTATCTTTGTGTGTGTGAGTTTTATTATTATATTTTATGATTATCTTTCTCTTTGTGAATTCCACCTTTGGGCCATTTTTTCCTTAGTGTAAGATTTTCTTATGGGCTAGTGTTGGTTGTTTGGTGGATTTTCAGTATGATATTGTTTCCCTTTACCAACCAATCACGCCAGTCATTCACCTTCGCTAAAGAATAGAGATTTTTTCACCTTTTTTTCCACTTTGTACTAAGTTTCACTTTTTTACGACTAATTTTCTACTATATGATGTAATTTAGGGATGTAAATGAGTTGAGTTGATTCGAGTAGTGGGATTATCCGGCTTGACTCGTCAGTCAGAAAACTGGCTCGAACTCGAGCTTGAGCTCAAATCAAGCCTAGAAAATGAACTCGAACTCTATTCGTCCTAACTCCTTGGCTCGACCGCTCGAGAGCTCGCCTCACCTCGAGCTTGTGGCCGGTAAACTCTTGATTTGGCTATTGCGTGAGAAGGGGAGAAGAGGAGGCAGCCATTTGGGAGTGTCCCTGCATCCTAGCTTTCAGCTTTGGATGGCATTCTGAAAAAAAAAAAAAAATGTTGTTAATCTCCTACACCATAATGTTAGGCAAACATTGCTGTTAATGCTAAGTCCTAAGATGGGATGATGGTGAATGGTCATGGGTCCAATAAAGGTGATACCCATGACCAACCTGTCAACTTAATGGATTTTGGTCAGATTGTTTTTAAATTCTGGATTATTGAAGAGAGTGGACCACTGAAGAACATCTTATTTGCCACAAACAAACTGGACTGGTACTGAACTATGATAGATGCCATTGTTAAATATTGTTACTAATTACATTTAAGACTAAATTGATAAGTTCAATTACTCCTTTATGCCTTCTGTGGAAGTTTTTTAATCTTTTGTGGAAGCCTTATAATATTTTATGGTAGCTTTTTAGAGTTTTTTAATCAACAATATACATACAATGATATTTTGTACAATCTGAACTTATATCAGTTAGCTTTATCATGAGTATCTTATGCACCTATTCATCATATCCTTTTGGAAGCTGAAAGTAGTTGATATGACTGGTATTAGTTTTTTTTTTTTTGGACATTTAGGTCAATTAAGTAAAACTCACACACAAATTACATATGCAATCTTCCCAAAAACTATTAGTTGGTAGCCAAAGCTTCCAACCAACATATCAAGATGAGTTGTGCACTAGTATTAGACTGATGAACATTATTGTGAATTGCTGTAACTATTTACGGTTAAGACCAAGGAGAAGCCGGCGGCTAGGTGGGAATTATGTGGAGTTTGGTGGGAAGAAGGGGAAGGGCTTGGGGAAGGGAGAAACCGTGGGTATGTGATGTGAAATGTAATGCGTGGAAACAAGAACTGCTTGGGGATTTTAATATAAGACTGTTAAAGCTTTGCTAGTTATAGAATTAATGCTTACCCAAGTTAGGTTTTCAGAATTATCAAGTCGAAATTAAGTAAGGCATGCGGTTACAATTAGATTAACGAGACAAGATCAAATTGACAACATAAAATTAGAGAGTAATGTTATGGGGAGAAACAATAATCCATAATTAACAAATAGAACTTTTCTCCTTGGGTCTCTCACTCACTCTCTTGTTGGTGGCACTTTTAATGGAGGAAGATTGAGAGCAACCGAGACAAATGGCGCACAAAGTGTAGTCCGTTGGAGTGGTAGCCGGTGGCGGGTAGTCCATGGGATGACTAGTGAGCATCCAACGTCTTATCCATTCTTCCTTGATCTTCAAAGACGAAGCCGTGGTCGAAGTCGGGATCGACCGTCCATGGATGTAGAGAACTCTCTTCTTGAGCCCTTGAGCCCTTGAGCCGACCACTTGTTGAAGCAAAAGAGGAGAAGATGGTGGGAGTCGGCTATGGTGGGGGCTAAGAGGCAAATGCATGAAATCTGAAATAAAATTCAGATTTTAGTGGTTTAGGAGAGGGATTTAATTTGAATTTCAAATTAATCCAAGGAGGGAGAGGGGTGGAAATGGGGAGAAGAGTTGGGCTGAATTTGTGGAGTTATTAAGGTGATTAGGAGAGAAGTAAGTTTGGGATCTTAATTAATTGGATCCATAATGAGATACCAATTAATGAAGATTGGTGAGGTGGATAAAAGAGACTTAATGGGGGAGAGAGAGGAGAGAGGGGCCGGCCATGTATAGTGGTGAGGAGGCTTGAGAATTTAAATGAGTGGGGACCACAAGGAGTTAATTAAGCATAATAAAATCTGACATTTAATTTCAGAATTAATTATATCATAAGTAACTCCCAAATTCAAATGAAAATAAGAGGGAATTTGAATTTCAAACATGTGTAACTCCTCTTAATTAATTATCATAAGTAACTCCCAAATTCAAATGAAAGTAAGAGGGAATTTGAATTTGAATTTCAAATATGTGTAACTCCTCTTAATTAATTTTCCAAATTAATATGGCTTAATTAGGACATAAACTACTACATGAAATGACTCAAAATAAAACTCATGATCGTAGCCGTCGATCTCCGGCGTCTCCTGATGGTACTCGTGTCAAAAAAATGCTGACGATGTCCTCATTAGTATGATGTTGGCCGGCGGTGGTGGAAGGAGAAAGGAAGAGATGCGAAATAGAACCACGAACCCGGCTCGTCTAAGTTGCTGAGTGATGCGCAATTCTCCCTCTCCTAGAGATCTCTCTCCGATTTCTCAAGCTCTTACAAGAACTCATGCAAGGGGAAGAAATATTTTAATCAATCATTCATTAACGTGAAAAGAAGAACAATGAGGCTATAAATAGCCTCTTATAAAGACTCAAAACATAAAAGGACGACCATGCCCCTAGGATGTACATAAGACCTCCCTTAATAAAAGGGTAGAACGGGAAGCTAAAAGAAACAGATACAAAATAACATCATAATAAGAAAATGCATAAAACAAATCAAAAATACAATGAATCAATCATGGTCGTAGATCGATGGCCACGTCTCTGATAAACCTTCCATGATCTGATGTCCCCATCAATAGCTATGATAACTTCTACATTTTTTGGGTGGGCATTGAGTTTCTAACTCTCATTTCGTCGTCTCTAACCAAACTCCGGACAAGGATTTCGGGGGTGTTTGAGAACTTGCTTTATTCATGTTGACTCAGCATTTCATAGGCTGGAGTACTATTATTAAATGGTTTTTGCTTAAATAGGCTTTAATACTGACATCATGACTGTCTGATAAATTATTCCATTGCATTGATATTTCTTGCTAGTTGTAAAGTAAAGCTTGAGTACTTGATTTTGTGTGGTATTATAATTCATCAGTTATTCAAGGTACATGCAGTTATCTGCCATTAGACATTTTGTGCTTGCAGGGTGTTATTCATGGGGACATCAAACCTGAAAATCTTCTGGTAACAAAAGGTGGAGCCGTGAAAATTGGTGATTTCAGTATCAGTCACGCATTTGAGGTACTTATATCTTTTTATTCTTCCCATTTTAGTAGCAATTCGAGTTTCTATTTGGTTAAGAAAATTGTAGTTTGAAAATTGATTGTTCTCTGATTAAGTAAACTGACATACGATGGTGCAAAACCTAATTTGATATTCCTCTAAAATTTTTATGCCAACTATTGAATGGAGACTTAAAAGATTAGGGACCGTCAGTTTTACAGCTGATTTTCCTTCAATATTCTACTAGGCTGATATTTTTAAGTTCAGAATAAACCTTGATAAAGGTGATGTTTGTAAAATGATGGAAATTCTGTGTTACATTTCCTTAAAATTAAATCATATGTGTTTAAGGAGGTACATGCTCTTGGTTGAAGACTCATGGTCCATATTTTAATAATCTTTCAATCTACTTAAGCGGTCATATCTTAACCTTAGCAAATTACATGCTGGTTTTCGGATATTGAGATATATTTGTATTATACAAGTTTTTATTTAAAAGATTGGAATATAAAATATTTATCTGGATATAAATATATAACTTTGCCAACCCAAATAATTGGAGGCGGTGTAATGATGAAATGATGATATAAGCCTATAAAACTTTAAAATATTGTGAAGTCATATCTACTTATGCTTCAAATTAAGAAGTTTAAAAAGATTGAAATAATTCTTCTAAAAAGTGAAATTTGTCTTTGTCTTAGGCTTCGTTTGGGACAACTTTCTTAATGCTTTCCAAAACTACTTTTTAGCTAAAAAATTTTTTAATTAGAATTTTTTGTAATGGAAATTAGTTTTAGAAAACAATAAAGAAAGCTGTCCCAAATGAAGCCTTAGTAGAATCTTTCAGTGGCATGTTTCGTTCTTTCCCATTCCTTAGAAAAACATCGGTTCTAGTACAAGATACTATTATTACCGCATGGAAAGTTAGACATTCAAGTTGTAATCGCAACAACCCAATTGCAAAAGCAGAGCTCTACCAACGGAGCTATATCCCCAAGCTGAGTGAAACATGCATAAAAGAGTCAGACTTCTTCTATTCCTTTCCCTGACATCACTGGGCTATCTTGGACCTTTACCAGAGACCTCACCCGTGGAGTAAATCATTGCACCTACGATCCAACGAAGTGTGAGAGAGTTAATAGATTTTTTTATTTAATAGTCTAAATAGTGAAATTGGTGGAGGTCTATTCCATAAATGCTAAAGTTGATCAAGGGAACACCTGCTTTAAGCAATCTTCAGTAATGATTTTTTTTTGTAGGATGCCAATGATTTACTCTGGAGATCTCCGGGAACACCTGTTTTCACCGCACCTGAATGCTGTATTGGTAAGACAAATTAACGGACACTAGTTACAATTATCTCAGGAAACAGAACGGCATTTAGGCTTCGTTTGGAATGGCTTTCTTCTTGCTTTTTAAAAGGACTTTTTAGTACAAAAAATAATTTTTTTGTCCTAGAAAGCCGCTTTAAGAAGCGGTAAGAAAGCTGTCCCAAACAAAGCCTAAGTGATAGTATTTTACTTTCCAACGAAAAATGTGTGTTGATTATTTCTTTTTCCTTTTTATCGTGATAGGTTTAAACTATCATGGTAAAACAGCTGATGTGTGGGCCGTAGGTGTTACGTTGTACTGCATGATTTTTGGTTATTGCCCATTTATCGGAGAGAGCTTACAAGAGACTTACGATAAGGTAATCTGAGCCTTTTTTCAGGACTATTCTCTTTGGCTGCCTGCCGTCGTCGTGCTGAAGTTTCTCTCTCATCATGATCTTTTTAATTGCAGATAGTGAACAGTCCTTTACATATTTCTGAAGATTTAGATCCTGAACTAGAGGAGTTACTTCGAGGACTTCTTTGCAAGGGTCAGTAAATGTTCCATTCCTTTTATATACTTCGCTGCAATAATTTCTTGAGGTTCCATTTTTTTTTTCTATGCTCTTCCCCTAAATTTCTAATATCCTTTCCCCTTCTTGCTACAAAGGCTGAAATCCAAAGCATTAGACACTTTGAAATCAGAGATTATCCATCAGAAACTAGCCAACTACCTTAAATTCTGGTTGCGGAAGTTATAGAGTTTCTATTTAGGCCCCATTTAGCTGATTAAGTTACCAAACATGTTTTGAAATTCCAAGAAACATGATAGTATTAGACCGGTCCAGCCGGTCCATACAGGACCGGCTTGAGGCCGTGCGATCCGAATGCCTAGACAGAGCGATTTAGGAAAGATTTTTTTAGGGATTAGGCCGTGCGATCCGAATGCCTAGACAGAGCGATTTAGGAAAGATTTTTTTAGGGATTTGGGAGGGAAATTTTAATGTAGGGAATGTTTAGAGATTTCCTTTTGAATTGTATGCATTAAATAGTTTGTTTTCCTTGGGTTAGGCCATCTTGAATTTGGCTGAAATTTGAGATATCTTAGATTTAGGTTTTCTTTTGGGCTCTAGTGGCGTCTAGAGATTTGTGAGAGATAGATCCCCCTCACGAATAGATGATCAATTGTATCTTGCTATTTTCCGCTTCCCTTTCATCAGATAATACAAATTATCTACTGTTTTCGTGGTTTTGTGCAGATTTTTATGGAGAATTCTCGCTGTTTTCTGAAGACTGATAGGAATTACTTGAGATCTACAAGTATTTCCTATCATATAGACTTATCATTTGGTTGGATTTCATCACAAATCTACATTACTTTTTTAAGTTTAACAAACCCCCTTGATCCCTTCAAATATAAGGATATAATTTTCTCTTATAAAATAAGTAAAAATGAAATCATCATTTTCTAGAACACATATTTCATCTCCAAAGAATCAGGTCCAACCTTACTAAAATGAAATATCATATCTTCCCATAATTCTCTTACTTCTTCTGCTCATTGAACTTCTGAATTGCTTATAATCAGATCCAAGTCAAAGAATGACACTGGAATCAGCAGCTAGACACCCTTGGTTAACTAGAGGAACAGATCCGATTCCTCAGCCTTCAGGCAAATGCAGGTGTGGCAGCTCGCCAGCGGACAATGAAGGCGGCAGCGAAGGCTCACCTAGATGATATTTTGAAGCTCTTACAGTTAAATTAATTGTATAAATCTGCAGATAGAAATGGCGGCATCTGAGCTGATCTTGGCGAGGTCCCAAGTCATGAATTGAAGATACCATCCATTTTAACTTTACTATTTTTGATGAGACTGTTGGAGTTCTACCATGAGCAGTGCAACCAGTGCTTGGGTGGAGGTGGTTAACGGCTGGCCTTATGAGTTCAATATTGCATTAATTTATAGGGCTTATCTCTCATGGCTTTGCTATGCTGAAATTTGTTGATACTTATTATGTTTATTTTTTTTTTTTTGGCAAACTGGATGAATCTTTTGATGTGGTTTCACTGATCAATTCAAGAAGGTTTTTGGCCTTTTGCCCTCTGTAATTTACATGTTCTTTAGTTGCGGTGGAGAAAGTTTTAACTTCTGGTGGCTTAACATCAGTTGCCACAATTAGGTTTCGTTTGAGATAATTTTTTTATTGCTTCTTAAAGCAGATTTCTAATAAAAAATTTTGAAAAAATATTTTAAGAAGTAGGAAGAAAGCCGTCCCAAACGAAGCCTAAATCATTAATTCCATGAATTAACTGAAATTCCATTCAATAGTTGTCAATTTGTTCTTTAAGCATTGTATGGCTCTTCAGATACCTTAACGAGAAATGAGAAAAAATCATGGTTGTTGTAATAGTTCATTTGTTCTAGTAATTAGGTGTTATATAAGAACTGCGTCTTTAATAATGCTAATATAACAAAGGATGCACCATTAGTTTTGCAATTTATTTTTTTTTAGGGATTTATCTACATGCTACATAATTCTTTTATGTTTATAAATCTAACATTTACATTTACATTTTTTATTTATTAAACAATCACATTAAAATGCTATTAATATTAATTTTTTAAAGTGAATTATATCTTTTTATCACATAATTGAGACATTAAATTATTATATAAGTAAATATAAAAATTTAAGTATTGGACATGTAAATAAATAAAAATGTGAAATGTATGTCCTCATTTATTTATTGCATGTTTATTACGATAACAAAAAGAAGATGGAAACATAAATCAAACTAAGCTTTTGATTTGCACCTTCTCTTTTTCCAGTGGAAAGTATTTATATGAGAAGTTATTACATGCGGAGTTGAGCAGGAGAATTGTTAGGATTTTGTGAGGTTATATGATAAATACATGATAAAAAATAAAATAATGTTTTTATTGTGTATTTATTATGTGTCTTCACATAATCGGAATGATTCTCCTATCCAGACTCTGCATGTAATAATCTCTCTTATTTGAGAGATATATATAATCATTTCATATGGTTGTCTCATTGAATATAAACCTCGTGATTGGTGAGATGGTTTTCTAGCGTTTGAAACGTTCCTTCGTTGGTTCATGATCATTGCCTTCATATTTAGCATTGGGTATTATAATATATAAATTACAACATATAAAACATGTGATAATTATGCAGAAATAAAATAAAATCGACTTAAAGTTCAAGCAACCAGCCAACAATTTCTGTTACTTCAAAAATAATTCTTACAAAGCCAACTCAGAGAAATAAAGTTTCAACAAATCAGTCACAATGGCCATGTTGTATATAAGCAAACAGGCCTCGTTTTTCACTAACTGGATCAAATAAAAAATTTCTAACAAATAAAAATTTTTTTTTTTTGTACAAAGAGCAATGTTTCACTAAACAACCACAATTAAGAATCACTTCCAACTCTAAAAACTGAACCCTTCATTAAAATCAGAAGCGAAGAGCGCCGCGGAGATTGCTTCGGCGCAAGCAGAGGAGGAAGCATAAGAAGGGTTGGGAGAGGGAAGCTGAAGCTCGCCGCTGGCGGAGAAATTCAATACGGCGGCGAGCACGCGGCGAACGCTGAGCGAGCGAGATGGGGCGAAGCCGCCGGTCTTCTCATCGGTCTTCCCGAACACGGCGGAGGATTTGGAGAGGATGAGATAAACCAAAACCTGAACCGCCGCGAACAGAATCACTTTTATTAAAAACTCCGATGATGAAGAGAGGAAGGAAAGCTCATCCATGGCTGAGGCGATGAAGAAGAGAAAAGATTTGACTTGGAATTTTAAGTGAGAAGCGATTGAGTTATATATAGGCGGTATGCAGCGAGGAGGGGAGAAGGGCGGCTGAGGCGGCGCCTGAGGGTCTCCTGGTTTGAAAGGCGTGGGATTGGAAGTTTGACTGCAACGTAAGCCATGATGAATGTGTATTGTCTCTCCTACTTCGACGAAATGTTTGGCTGCGTTAAAAATTAAAATAGGTGACATATATTAGCAAGTTCTAAAAGAGAAGCGCTTTACGGATAAATTTATCAAAAAGTTTAATGAAGCTCTAGCCCGGTGGAATAAAACAAGGTCAAAATAGGTGTCAATTTCCGTTATGGGTCGGGTTCGGGTCTAATTTGAAATTGACCTGGTACTATTCGGGTCGACCTGAATGCGAATCCGACCTATTTTGTTATTTTTCGAACCTGAACCCGACCTGACACGGGTTTGGGAATTTTCCGAATTTTCGAGTTGCAGAATGGTCCAAACTCCAATCGCTTTACGAGCTGCTGAGCTCCCGTCGCTACTTCCGATAGGGAGATGACCGGACGGCAAGGCAGCAACTGACGGGCCTGGCGGACGTTGGACGCGACATCTCTACAGTTGACAGACAAGACTAACGTGACGGGACGGGCAAAGAGGGGGAAACGGCCGTTTCGGGTCAAAATGGGTTGATTTCGAGTTTTCTGGTCAACCCCAACCTGACCCGTTTAGGATTCGGGTTGATCTAAACATGAAATTTTCATATGGATTTGAGTCGGATTTTCGAGTCTCGTAAAATATTGACACCCTAGGTCAAAATCTGACTTTTTATTATGTTTTTTGGTTGATTTTCGGTATCTGAGCCAACCGTATGAGTGCCCAGCTTGAATTCTCGCTTCAGGTGGCGCTGACGTCAGTTTCATCTCTGCCACGTGCTCTCCCTACCTGATATTCTCAACTCAGCCATGGGGCTTTCCTTAACTAGCCCTTAGAGCTGGGAGGAGTCAGTCCGTCTTCCTCTGCTGGCCCCGACCTCATAAGGGTCAAGGGTAGATGTGGTTAGCTGACCTCCAAAAACCCACCCTGAAATCCGCCATATGCTTCATCCATAAATCCAAGGAGTCCATCGCCGTCGTCGTCATTGTCGATAACTTAGAACCACCGTATGTCGTCCGTCATTCGCTGCATTCAAATTCTAAATCTCACACCAAAATTCGGTAGGTCAATAGCGCGACACCAATTTTGACGTCGGATAGTTCACCTACGACAAAAAAAAAAGGTTGCCGAATTTGTCGAAGACGAGCGTGAAAGAGGATAAAGTGAGCGAAAGAGGAGATAAATTGTTACCTTCGCATGAAGCACGCGAAAGAAGAAAGAAATGCAGTTTGATTAAAGATTACATCATTTTAAAGTTTTACTATATTTTAAAGTGGAAAATAAATTTTTCGGTTCGAGATGCCCTTAGCACTCACCAACCCCTTTATCATAGGCCTTTTGATCGACACCGTCCTAGAAGAAGATGAAGGTGGCAAATAGGCCTCCATTGCCGCCATCGTCATAGTTATCTTCTTTTTCTCCTTGATCCCCTGCCTCTTCCTTCTAAGTATTATTGCTCAGTAGTTTGCCAACACCTTATGATTCAAACATTTATTAGCAGTAGGAATATTCAGAGGGGGAAAACTGGAAGATGATGTGCACAGAAATATGTCCATTTTTGTGATTTTAGAGTGTGAGTAATGTAACTTTTCATTCTACGCTCCAAGGAGAGATTATTAGGTGTGGAGTGCAGACGGGGAGAACCGTCCGCACAAGTATTGGGTCCCTAGCGGTACACGCACTCGATACCGCTGGGTACCTAGTGGTACCCAGTGCTTGTGCGGACGGTGCGCATTCCGCACCTAATAATTTTTCCCTTATTAGGGTTGTGAACAAGCCAAATATTTAAATTATGGTTTGAACGGCTAGTTGGTCCAAACAAGTTGATTTCCAGAAGAAGCCAGTATGGAAACCATCTAACCCAAACAAAGAGATCATCCTAACCATATATAATGTCATCCAGTTCTAATTTCCTTACCGGTGAGATTTAGGAGGATGGGATTTTCTGGATGTTTTGGGAATTTGCCTCCCAGTTTTTTTTTTCTTGGAATTTGTGTCCCTTTTTTTTTTTTAAATTTATTTTAGGGTGATTTAGGGTACATAGGATATTGATGGTGAACGCAACAACTTAATTGATGTGTACCTAGAATTGTTGATGCATTGAACTCTATTACAAGAGTAAAAAGTAGTATAATAAAACCTTGATGAAGTCTTCAAGTTATAATTTTTTTAAATTGAGGTAAAATATGACAATTTTATAAATATTATTGATCTCTTTTAAAATATCATGCATGTCCACTAGCAGCTGATCTTCGTTGCCTTCCAACAACAATTGTCGATGCCCATAGTCATCGCGCTATTGCCTTCCATTGATGCTAACGAGTGTTGCGATCCAATTGATTTTGCATCCCCAAAAACTAGCCCAATCAAAAGATTGAGATCAAAAAATTACATCTTAGAGACCACTTAAGCAAAATTGCATAAACTGGACTCACCCCTCACGCTTTTTTTATATATTTGATTTGGCTTGAACTTTATAGAATTGGTTGCATACATGACCGTATTGAAAATAAGAGACAATACAATTATTGTATAGCCTAATAAAAAAATCTGACTTAATGAAGTTGTGTATCAAGCTTTTAAGAAGTTATTGATTCGATAGTCAGATAGTCAAGTAGTCAATCAATAATTCATCTTGACAAATCGTCTCTTTTTTAGCAGTCTCCATGGTGTACTTTATAGTTATAGTTGTTAGGGCCATTTATTGGGATTTATTCATGCATTGAGATGAATTCTAAGATTATGATCGCCTACTTGTGGCAAAGAATTCTCTTGTAAGCTAGTAAGTATGCGTCAAAGTCGATTGAGCTAACTTGATTTAAATCAACCTAATTTATCTTGAGCTGGATTATCTTAATTTGAATCATATTTTTTAAATATTTAGGTAAACACACACACATATATATAGAAGTTTCAGGGCATGTTCGAAATGCTCCCTCGAAGCCTCAGAGCTTTATCCAATCTCTAGCCAAAGATCCCTCTCATGTAGAGAGTGGAGTCTATTTATAAATTTTTGTGAGTGACACACCTTGTAACTATAGAGAAGTTCCAGGGCATGTTCGAAATGCTCCATCAGACGACCCAATATGACTACCTCAATCATGGAGCATTTTTCAAGCATTTATGTGTCTTAATAATGTCAAAATTAAGAGATCTTGTGCTTGTTGGATTCGTCTCGTCAAGCCGCTCGATTCAACTATAAGCTTGCCATATTTAAAGACCACTTGGTCATTCAAATAATACTTTGAACCTTCCAAATATGCTTCAACTCCCTGATCTATACCCATTTGGGTTTGAATTGGATCGATTTTGATGTCATATGATTCATCTCTTTAAGATGTTCAATTTGACTATAAGTTTTGCTAAAATTGAAGTTTGGATGGTAATCCCAAATTTAATTTTGAAAAATTTTAACTTGAATATAAATCGACATAGATATCCGATCAAGATATATA